TCCCTTTTGCGATTGTGTAATAAAAAGCGGAGATTTGATTATCACACTGCATGATTCTTTTTTCATTTTGGTGGAGAATTCATATCCCCATTTGTTTATTTTTTTTTGTTCTTCACAGAATGACCGATGTAATTCATTAGCAACCTCAGATCGACAAGAAAGCACATCTGAAAGTCAGGTATGATCATACTTCTGTTTTGCCCGCCTCTTGAGGCTTCAAGAAAACACGTCAGTTGTTTACATCTGCAGCTACTTAGTCAGCCCTAGTGCGAGATCTTTTTGCAATTTGTTAGAAAACCTTTATGAAACCTTGTTGAAATAATTACTCTAGTTGACTGACGAATAAATTTACATGTAGGCATTTTTTTTTATTATGAACCATGAATCTCATTCATTGCCTGACAGGGAACATCTGCAATATTTTGATACGTAAATATTATTTGATCATTTAAATAACTTAATCATAAAGCTTTTAAATCATGTGTGCTGAGAAGTCATGTAAAATTTTTTTTTTTTTAAAGTTGTAAAATAATATTTCCAAACTGCTATTTTTAGCTTGAAGGCAGCTGTATTACAGAGGATGGAATGATGAGCATGTTCCTCTCCAAGATTGACAGAGAACTTGTTCAGGTGGCAAGAAGGGAGACCAAATCAGTGCTAATAGAAAGGGGATATCCTGGTTTGTCCAGTTTTACTTTTGAAGAGATACTGGCAGAAATGGGAAGCCTGTGCCCTACAGTGTTTACGATTCTGTCAACAATGATTCAGTTTGATCTCAACCAAGATAGGAATACTGTACCACTGGCCCTTATCTATGCAGTTATAATGTTCAAACGATTCCATGAGTTAAGCCGTGTACAGAGACTTCCCACAGTGTTGCTCTACAGTGGAAATGCGAGTAAAGAGGTGAGAAACTTTCTGACAGTCAAGAAATGCACATAGTGGAGGTTCTACTGTAAAAAGAATCGGAATGCTATTATAATAGTTTCCTCATTCAATGCTTTACATTGAGGATTGTAGTATCATTTAGTGTGTTTGGGGCAGGTGGTGCTTCCAAACCCCCTTTCCGATCCCCTAAATAACTCAAATTAGTACATGAAGGTGGCTTGGCTCCTTTAGGGGGCTTACCATAATTGCTAATTTTGTAATGCCCTTGTTTTATATTTGTCTTCCTTGGCACTTAGTAACAGATAGACCACAATAGTATTTTACTATGTTAGTCATGGTTTTTATTGGGTGATGATAAGTCTTCCAGGACGAGGCTTCCTTGTTTCCCCACAATGTGAGCAAACTAAAGTTATTGATACCTTCTAACACAAGAAAATAGTGAACTTAATATAAGCAAAGGGTCATTTACCACAATGACTGATTGCATATGGTCCACCTCCAGACTCTATAGGTCTCAACTGCTAATACCTCTCTTTCTCTATCATAGCAGAGCTCCGCGCACGAAGCGCGCCTGCGGAGCACCATGGGTAAATAAATCTACCCACCCCAGAAAATTTGGTAATCACGTGACCGAGCGACCGAGCGACCGACCGTCCGTCCGCACCACAGGCATACCAATGTTTACTCTCACACTTTCCAGCTACCTTGGGAGCCCAGGAGAAAGCTGATTGCACATCAATGTTGTCATCAATTGACAGCTGTCAAAACAGGGTATCCGCTGACCAGTATCACCTGGCCGTATCACGGGCTCAGGTATCGACCCATCAAGGTCGAGTATTTTTTAAAGTTTTCCGCTGACAATTTACTCGTTTTCAAATGATCGCACGCTCACGTTTACTTTTTTTTAAAAATTCATATCAAATATGTTGTGTTTATGTCAGTATCGTCCCACAATATTACGATTTTGATTTCAAACTGACCTCAGACGCAAAAATTCCGCCAGTTTTTTTAAAATACAGGCGGGGAAGACCTGTTCTTACCATGGTCACGTGTTGGTCACGATCCACGTCCAATTTTTATGCTCTGATTGGTAAAAATTTGACAGGTGAGTTCATGCGTAAAAGTTATGCAGCATCTTGAAAGTTGTTTACTTTGACAGCTGAAGCTGAAAGACTTTGAGTCAACTTGTGATAATTTTAACTGTCTTTTTCCACTGGATGTACAAAATGAAATACAGCTGCTTTCAAGAGTGTTCTCTTATTTATGGATGGTTTGTTCGTTGGGTTTTTTGGTTGAGAAATGCATTGCTTGTCAAAGCCGATAATCCGATTTCGGATGGCATCGTTTTTGTTTTTCACCTTGCTGGATGCGTAGGAGAATTATAAAGGCTCAAGCGATCCTTGCCTTACTTGATAGCTTTCAGGAGCTGCATCTCGAAATATGGTAAGCCTGAGTAAGTATTGTATTTATATCTAATTTCATGAAGTCCAGCGGCGCAGTTTACGAAGCTAGTTTATGCACGTTTGTATTAAGATTTGACTGAGACACTGATCTGACCTAGTATGAGGTTTGATATAAGCTTAAGCTTACAGAACTTTAAAAAGCCTTAAATCGATATTAATTCACCGTACATAGAAAGAAAAGACTTTCCGAAGAATATTTAGTTATTATTTTGGCCGTAGAAAGAAAGCTTTGAGCGATTTTCTTGTCGTGAGTTCATCTTTGAAAACAGCAAACACCGGGAAACCAGCGGCTTAAAACATAAACTTAATCTTTAATCTTAAATACTCATTTGTTTTCGTGAATGAAAATTGTTGTCTCTGTAAATGTGCTACCGAATTAGATTTCTTTATTGATTGTTGGTAGTCTCAAAAGTGTAATTTTCATCGCTTTGCCGTTTGTTTTCAGCCGTTCATAAACATCGCCTGCAGGAGTACTCAAAATGCCGAGCGTATCAAACACTTTTTAAGATTACACATCGTTATAAAACCATTAATAAAAAATAGACTCAATAATTTTCTTTATCACGTTGAAGCGTAACTCTTTTAAAATTTCTTCGCAAATTTGGCGCTTGTCAAAAGTTAGAACCGGCTGGCCATATAAGTGATTTTGGAAATGTTTTGAACGGTTTCCACGCGTGCTTCGATGGTCCTGAATATTGAATGAATTCGATTTGTCTTGAAAAATTGTGAAATACTGCATTTTTAGCGAGGTCTGTATGATAAAAACAGCGCCTCATAGTACTCTTTCTCCTCAGATGTGGTGTATAAAAAAAAAATAAAAGATTGGTTTGCACGCACCCAGATTTATTTATTGGCAAGAATTTGTAAACTTGTCGAACGCAAAAAATTTGGCCTGATTTGTTTTCCACGCCTTATCTATTGTGATCAAGAGCCATTATTACTCTTAAATGTGACTGAAGACTATTTTTTGGGTGTACATATAAGGCTATATCAACTCGATACAAGATTTGTTTCACTCCGAAATCACTTAGCTTTTCCCTCAAAAGTCACATGAATGTGCCCTTTAGTTAACTGATTTTTGGAATACAAAATTGTTTGATTTAAGTTATAAATTTATCAATGGGAGCTTCGCTTTTAGCCGTGGCTAAATCTATATATTATAGCTCATTGAGAGGTTAAACAAATATGGGATTTCAATGGCGCCAGCCATGAAGCCCAAAATCCAGGAAAATATTGGAAGCCACTTCCTGGATCATGCCGTTGAGCTTGTGAAGGAGGGGAAAAAATTTGTGCTTGTTCTGGACAACATTGACTGGGAAGTTAAGGTACATGATATGCGTTCAGACAACTAGAACAAAAGTGTTCATGCTGTCGCAACATGCATAGTTTTTGATCGTGTGGCCACTGATGATCTTCCTGACAATTGGCCTAAGAAGTCCCTCAGTGATTGTAACATGAGGAAGCTTTTAAAGCTTAGTGAACAGGAACAAAGGTGCACAAAAGAACAGTACAAGATTTTTCTAGGAAGAATCTTGGTCGAGTTATTCCCTGTATTTCAGTTCCTCAGTGATGTTGCTCCAGTTCGTACACCTTGCCGTTACCAGGCTGAAATGAGTTCTTGTGCCCCTTCCAGTGTTGATGAAGGATGAAAAGAAGTATGCTGAAGTTGTCGATGTATTGGATCAACTAGAGGTTTGGGTATGTTGAAGATTTAGATGTCAAACCAGTTATCTTTTAATAATTTTGAGTATAAAAAAAATGAAAGTGAGTTCAAAATTATTTTTCACATGAAATTGATGTTATACAATGAATTGATAGGTGGGTGAGATTTACTCCAGAGCTGGCATATGTGCTGCTCAAGATGAATAGGGTGTTTTGCCTGTTCCTCCGCCTCTTCCAGTTGCTGCCCCATCCAGGCCTAATCAACCAGGGTCACATGTGCCACCTGTACCTCAACCTGATGATCCTTTGGCAAATATTAAAGTTCCCTGCTTTGGTGATCAGCTCACAAGGGTACGATTGGCAGGAACTAAAGACTTGCGTGCAGGAAGTCATACTCCACAGGACAGGCTAGACAACCTTTATCCCTTCCGAATTGTGGACTGGCACACAAAGAGAAGCTTTTTAAAGGTAAAAAAATTGATATTATTGGCCTAAATATTATAGTAGGGCAACCACAAATGGACTTTTCACAATGAAATGTTCATTTTCATACTTTTTTTAACCAAAATATGTAACTATGCCATCATTGGTTACCATAGCAAAAAGATGCCTATTTCATAGCATAATTTTTCTTGGTGCTTTAATTTCTCCAACCACCTTATCTGTTGAGTGAATTTAGGTGGCACTCACCACTCTCACATTACCAGAATGTGTGATCAGTTGCGGCTTTTTCTCAAATCACAAAGAATTATAGGGTTTTTTTTATGAACAACGGCGTCTGTGCCTGTAATGCACTCCCTCTAATATTACGTCTGCAATGGACTGTAAAATGCTCAAGTCCTTGGCAAACACCATTCTATCCAATCTTTTTAATTGCTGTTTGTCTATTTGTTTTAAGTGAGTTTTTTTTTTTTTTCAGGTCTGTTTAAATTAGATTAGTTACTCCATCAATAGAATGAAATTTCATACCCACTAATGTTCCTATTTTGTTTATTT